AGCGGTTTGCCGAATACAACGTTCGTCGTATTACGCATGACGTGCGCTAATGGGATTACGTCATCCCAACTTTTCATGCAAACAATGCACCTGGACCGGACTAAGGTAAAGTTTGTGGGTCACATAAAAATAAACATGATTAAATAAAAGGTCAACGAAATCAAACAATATGAAAGACATATGTCAAGTTCTAATTGGTATTGGATCAAAGTAAACGTAAATCTATTAAGTTATGACACAAAATCTAAATTAAACTTTAATTAATGTAATGGAACATCTGCTTGTGAAAACTCAACATTTTTACTGGCAAATGACATATAATCAAGGGAACTTATTTTCCCATTTTTATTTTATCTGATTACACTTCTTTCGTGGGAAATTGTATGTTTCTATTTTTTTCTTTTTTTTTGTCAATTTACACTCTCTTTTTTGTTATAGTAGCTAGTGGATGACAATATTAATATTAATATATAGATAAATTATAACATATGGCGTATTAAATTATATTACCGGTAAGGTTGTAATTAGTGCGAAAGAAAGATGAAATAAAAAAAATATTGCAGTAGCCCACATGGAGCCACGTACCGCACACTTCAAACACACACACAACGTGTCAATTTTGAGAAATAAAACCACGTTTGATTACTGCCACGTGGTAGAGCAAGTCAAAGCAATGTTATTTTCCTCCAGTCCGCAATGAATCCCTCAGTAGTAAAGCCACATTTGGAGCTGGCCCCACATGTCTCCATCCTTATACTCCTTCACACTCCGTGTTTTCGTGTCCACACTTGGGCCGCAGCTGCCACGCAATCCCCAATCTATAAAAGTCCCTCTCCCTCACTTCCAATTTCAGCTCAAGAAACTCAACCAAGCTAAGACACCAAACCATTCATACATATCTTACACTAATGAACAGGTTCTTCTCTCATTTTTCTGACTCCGTCGACCAGCCCGAGTCAAGTTCGTTGTCCGACGCCAGCGTCACGACTCTAAGGTCTTCTTGGTCCGACGAGGACGTCATATTGGCGTCGAGCAGACCAAAGAAGCGAGCTGGGAGGAGGGTTTTCAAGGAGACCAGGCACCCTGTTTATAGGGGCGTGAGGAGGAGGAACAATGACAAGTGGGTGTGTGAAATGAGAGAGCCCAAGAAGACGAAGTCCAGGATATGGCTCGGGAGTTATCCGACGGCGGAGATGGCTGCTCGTGCCCATGACGTGGCGGAATTGGCGTTTAGAGGGAAGCTTGCCTGCCTCAACTTCGCTGACTCCGCGTGGAGGCTGCCCGTGCCTGCTTCCATGGATGCAATGGATATTCGGAGAGCGGCCGCGGAGGCAGCTGAGGGGTTTAGGCCGGTGGAGTTTGGTGGAGTGTCCAGCAGCAGCAGTGATGAGAAGGAGAGAATGATGGTGCAGGAGGAAGAGAAGAAGAAGAAGGTTAGTGTGAAAATGGAAAAAAGCAGAAGCTTGACCTCGTCCTATTGGGATGAGGAGGAAGTGTTTGACATGCCAAGGTTGCTTGATGACATGGCTCAAGGCCTGCTTCTTTCTCCACCTCAATGCTTAGGTGGCTACATGAATTGGGATGACATGGGAACGGATGCTGATGTCAAATTGTGGAGTTTCTCCATTTAATAATCAACTTTATTTTAGTTGATTCTAATATATTTTATTTTACTTGTAACGAAAAGGATTAGCAGCGTCAGTCGTTCGTTTATGAGTAAAATATAGGGGGTTTCACTAAAACACCCAAAATGGGAGCTGAAATTATAAAAAAACCCAACACCCAAAACACTTTATAAACACACCCAAAACCCATCATTACACACACTCAAAACTCATTTATAAATACACCCAAAAAATATACAATTGTTGATTTTGGGGTTGATTTTGGGTGTATTTTTATATTTAAATAGTGTGTGGGTTTTTTTATAAATACATGCCTAGGATTGAGTTTATTTATAATAACCTATAAAATATACAGTAGAAAAGTTTATTGCTGAATATAAACGGTAGATGACAAAGATATTTTTGGTGGAGATGGATATTTAGGATTGTGTACAATGTACAGTAGAAAAGTTGTGGATTCATGGAATTGCTTTCTCTTTACTGGGTTCCTAGGCCGTTGGCTTTTCACTTTGTTCCTGTTGGTTTTGACCGTTGTAATTTGATTTTCATTCTTTTTATATGGACTGAAAGCTTTTATGTGTAACCAAGGTTGGTTGGTGTGAGTGGTTCGGCACTCTTATTCCTTAAGAGAGGTCAGGGGTTCGATCCTTGCTCTCGTACGGAGTCACCACTTTGGCCAACACTTTACCCCTTACGGGCCGACCCGGTGTGAGTGGGGATTAGTCTGGGTTGTGGTTAAGGCTTAAAGGTGCCACCCATAATTGGGGCCTATCCAGGACCACCTCATGATTTAGACCCAAAAAAAAAAAAAAAAAACAGCTTTTATGTGTTTGGAAATCCAGAAACTTCGTGCAATTTTACAGTTTATTAATAATATATTAAAATCTCTAGACAACGACGTCTATTATTCTTTTCTTTTTCTTTACCATAAAGATCCAACAATAGTACATCTCAAAACCTAATTAGATATTAGTTTTAAAATCAATGAAAGGAAAGAAAGATCCCTCATGTTCCCGTAATACTGTAATGCTATTACCCAGAACAGAAGGACTTCAATTGAGGATTCCATTAAAGGAAACTGTGGCTAAATTTAGGTTTAAAATCATGTGACACAGGGGCCCAGCTTTCTGAGAGCCATGCATAAAATAGTGCCTATCTTTTGGCCAAAATCATTATATATATAATATTATCAAGCCACACCATCCCCAAAATATCTCCAACCAATTATATTTTAGTAGATATCAACATATTCACATATTTCCATAAAATGAAGATAACATTATTTTGTTATTTTCGATTAATAATGGTATTATACACGTAATAACACTTTCACGTAACATATTAGTGTGTAACCAAGGTTGGTTGGTGTGAGTGGTTCGGCACTCTTATTCCTTAAGAGAGGTCAGGGGTTCGATCCTTGCTCTCGTACGGAGTCACCACTTTGGCCAACACTTTACCCCTTACGGGCCGACCCGGTGTGAGTGGGGATTAGTCTGGGTTGTGGTTAAGGCTTAAAGGTGCCACCCATAATTGGGGCCTATCCAGGACCACCTCATGATTTAGACCCAAAAAAAAAAAAAAAAACAGCTTTTATGTGTTTGGAAATCCAGAAACTTCGTGCAATTTTACAGTTTATTAATAATATATTAAAATCTCTAGACAACGACGTCTATTATTCTTTTCTTTTTCTTTACCATAAAGATCCAACAATAGTACATCTCAAAACCTAATTAGATATTAGTTTTAAAATCAATGAAAGGAAAGAAAGATCCCTCATGTTCCCGTAATACTGTAATGCTATTACCCAGAACAGAAGGACTTCAATTGAGGATTCCATTAAAGGAAACTGTGGCTAAATTTAGGTTTAAAATCATGTGACACAGGGGCCCAGCTTTCTGAGAGCCATGCATAAAATAGTGCCTATCTTTTGGCCAAAATCATTATATATATATTGTCAAGCCACACCATCCCCAAAATATCTCCAACAAATTATATTTTAGTAGATATCAACATATTCACATATTTCCATAAAATGAAGATAACATTATTTTGTTATTTCCGATTAATAATGATATTATACACGTAATAACACTTTCACGTAACATATTAGCCGAAAATAATAAAACAGTGTTATACCCTCACCGAATATAATAAGAGATCACATGTTCTCTATAGCTATAGCCTGGCTTGCAGCTAATTCTAATTAATTTTGATCAGAATAGTGATGCTAACTAGCTAGCTCCTTATTTTTTGGGCTGGTGGAAGAGCTCCTAATCTACAGAAAAGCTCTGTGTTTAATCATGTCAAATCAATTGACCTTTGTTTAGTGATTGGAATTTAAATGCTTCCAAATTTCTTTCCGGCCCCCTTCCTCCCTCCTCTTGGTAATTACCAAGTTCAACATAGCAATTTCAGCAATAACCTGTTATAGATATAAGGGATCTTTGAATATGGATAGTTTTGGGTTTTAATCTAATCTTCTGTAGATATAACTACAATCGCCATGATATGAATTGCAGAATATAATAATAATTTGCATGGTAAATCAAATCAAATCAAGTAAATCAAGACAAACCACCACACTACCAAAATTCCACAGGAATTAATCATAGAAAACTTACGAATGCAACTTATGTTATTTGATTTCAGGATATTCATTAACACCCATATATCAACTCTCGGGGGTGCAATTTGGATTGGAAATTCCAATTCCAACCGGTTCTGATCTTAAAATTTCATATTTTGACTAGTCCAAATCAATTAGGACATTCAAGAGTTTTGAAATACAAAAATTCTAAATAAATATTGGATTGGAATTGGAATGTATTTCAAGATTCCAAAAATTTTGAATTTCGTAATATATTAAGGTTTAAATCTTAGACTACGCATAATGATTAGTTTTCATGTTGAACTAAATACGATTTAACAACGAAATAGATATAGATGAGTTACTAAATGAAGGATAACAACATCTAAGTAATAGCACATGATAATTTTTTTAGCTTTCCATATAATTTTTCAATTTTGAGCCATTTTTAACATTTCAAATTGTATCATTTTTAAAGCTTCCACAAGTATCAAGTGGCCGGGGTGCATGCTAGCTACCAATTTTGAGCGGGCCCCTTCCTCTTTCTCTCTTCCAATAACACCTTCCTTCCATACACAGTCGGACACTCCCCACACACACCCTCTACAATATATATACATATCATGGCTCACCTAAATCCAAATACTCAGTAACTTTGCGCCAAATATTTGACCAATCTACAAACCCCTTGACCGTCCTCCTCAGCCTCCTTCACCACCCTCTCCTCTCTCTCTCTCTCTCTCTCTCTCTCCACCACCAAAACTTGTTAAATTACCAAAATACCCCACCTATCTATTCAGAGATACGAAGATATCTATATATATCATGCCTGACCTAAAATTTTGACCGTCCTCCTCAGCATCCTTCACCGCACTCTTCACACCAAGTCATCCCACACACTCTCTCTCTCTCTCCAGGACCAGAACTTTTTAATTACCAAAATACCCTCTCCTCCACAGAAGTACTGTTATAGCATAGGTATACAGAATCAGAAATCGCCAAAAGCCCACCACCATGGCATCAAGCCCCTCCAGGAAGCAGTCTAGGTACCATGGAATCCGGAGTCGGGGCGGAAAATGGGTGTCCGAGATCCGAGAGCCACGTAAGACTACACGTATATGGCTTGGGACTTTCCCAACTGCGGAGATGGCTGCAGCGGCCTATGATGTGGCCGCGCTCGCTCTCAAGCGCGGCGATGCTGTTCTCAACTTTCCTAGCTCCTTGGACTCGTATCCTGTGCCAGCATCCACGTCTCCACAGGACATTCGTAGTGCTGCTGCCGCTGCTGCAGCAGCAGCTGCACTACAAGGGAATGAGGAGCCAGATAACAGTCTGAAGCTCATAGAGAAGAAGACAAAGTACGAATACGATATGATGATGATGAGTAGTACGAGTTTGGCGTCATCTGTGGGAATGGATGAAGAAGAGCTTTTCGGGATGCCAAATTTGCTGGCGAACATGGCAGAGGGAATGCTTGTGTCTCCGCCTAGACCGTCTGATTATCCCGACTCGTCCGCCAATTCAGACGGAGCAGATAGTCGTCTATGGAGCTATTGATTATTAGCGTTACATATGCTTTCTTAATTTATGAATATGTGTATATATATATGACATGGTTCGTTATATATTTATATATTCAAAATGCTTGGTGCTATATTTTGTTTGTGTTTTCTCTTTCTTTCTTTCTCGCTTTCACGGTAAATATTATTAAAACAGAGCGGGGTTTCTTATGCAATTGTTCAATTTTCTTTTTGTGTTTTGTCTTTAAAATTTTGAAGATACAATTAATACAGAAACTTCTGTCTATGAGATTTGAATGTAGACAACAAATTTTTAGCCGAAAATAACAAAACAGTGATATTCCGATTACAAGTAAGTTTTTCCAATGAGATTTGGATGGAGGCAACAGGTTTTTGGCTATGGTTGCTATGAAACCAAATAAAGTGTCATATAAGACAAAGGGGAAATTAAGTGCTGATAAGGACCATCCAATTGATTATAAGGTAAAGTTTTCTCCTAAGGCAGAAGATCCATTATTGGTTCAATCTTGGGATGCTTTGCGTCAGTCACGTCACTTGTCTTTTGTGGTCCTTAAAACAATGCTACAATTATATTGTGTTTTGTCAAGTGTATACATGACGAATTGGGGTCTTGTGCTCATCTTTTAAGTGGTTTGAGAGTTCAGAGTTTAGTACTTTGGGGTTTATATTAAGAAGATAATCAAATGAAAGTCTTGTAAACCTCAAAACGGTGCCTAATCTGGTTAATCTAGGTCGGCAAGTAACACACTAGTATATTAATTAGCAGACCAAAAGAAAAAGAAAATCCATCTACTTATATTATTACAAAGGAAGGAAACCAAAATAATAATAATAAGAATAATAATAAAAAAATAAAAATAGGGCGTTTACAAAAATAGAAACTACCAAAAATAGAAATTCTCAAAAATAGAAATTCCCAAAAATAGAAAATTCCAAAAATAGAAATTGCTACAATTGGTAATTGCCACAAAATGCAAATTCCCAAAAGTAGATTGAGATCGCATAGAAAAATACTAAAACCTGTGGTAATTAAACTCTATTCTAGTGCCACTGGCGCTTAGTACTAATATAAAAATATTAATTGCGTGGCTCATGATTCATGCAAATTATAAAAAGGAGAAATGAAAGGTGTGGTTGCAAGTCTGCCATGTGTATGTAATCTGAAATCTTAAAAAAAGAGAAAACATGGGGGGGCCTAGAGTGTGTCTTCTTGGGTACCTGTCATTCATTAAAAAAATTAAAAATCCAAAAGCCAAAAGAAATATATATATATATATATATATATATATGTATTTTTATTTATTTTTTGGGTGGGCTTTTCTCAAACGCAAAAAAACAAACGAACAGTTGAAATCCTTGGAACATTATTTGAACTGTGGAAGACAAGACAAGTATGGCCGACATCGCCTCCCAACGCTTTTCTTCTTCCTCACAATTATCTTATCAGTACGTAGGTGATGATGCATCGCTCTCTCTCTCTTAACAGAGCTTTTCACATAAAACCATGAAGCTGACTACAGAATACAACTGCTACTTATTTCTCTTTTGGGTTTCAAAATAAGAAGAATGTAAATAAACATTAATTTCGACCCGTTCGGTAACCGTTTCACAAAAAGAAGATTATTAAAATCTGAGAATGTTAATGTTAATTATGAGTACATCAGCTTTTGAAAAAATGTAAAAGCAGTGGGAATATGTTTTCTAGTAATAACAAAATGAGATCAAAACAATGAATATGCATGAAAGTTTCGTGAAAGATGAGTGACTAACGAAATGTATGTCTTTTATTCTTCCATATACAAATAAGTGGAAGAAGGAAGATGAAGAAGGGATACGTAAAAATGGCAATTCAATTGAAAGATAATTTTTTTTCTTTTTATTTAAAAGAGATTCTAAGTTAGAATGCTCCATCGTCTTTCATAAAATAAAAGAAAATATGTTGAGGAAAAATAAACCTACAAGCTATCAGATCAAGAATCCTTCCCAGAGACAAAACGAAAAACATGTTAATCATGAAAATAGGAAATACATGGTTTCTTGCCCAGAACATATTGTGTTTTAGGGGAACAAGATTTCAATGTTGTGGACAGTCATTCTGTTTGCACTGCGCTTATGGCGTAATCGTATTCATAAATTAGACACAAAGACTATCAACTACGAAGGCCATAAAAAATACAAGTAGAGACTAAACAACAAACAAACACTAAACTCATGAGAGTTGATGTAATTATTACAACACAAGAGACTGAAAATAAATAAAAATGGCTCAACCACCTAGTCATCACGGGAACAAACAAGAGTACCCAACGAAAGTAAATCCACCCGAAAACGTTGTTGTAGATCTTCTAGAGGAACTCCAATCTGCAAAATAAACAACCAAAACAAAAGAGCAATCGCCGAGACCACCACCGAGAAGATGGTAAGAGTAAAGGGTGAAGAGAAGGGGAAAGGGAAGGAGAGGGAAGGAAGTGTAGTCTCCTTCCCCCCTCCCCCAGGGATGAAGACGGCTAGGATTTTCTCTCTAACTAGAGAGAGAGGGTATTGTTTGTTTTTATTTGATAAAAACAGTCACATCAATGTTCTGTGTTTTTGGTAAAAGCAGTCGCATCATTTAATAAGACTTGTTAATTTAGGAACCTAATATCTCAGCAATCATGATTTTATTTTAGGATCATGTATTAGCCTTCATTGGTTCAACTTGATTCTTTATCTTTAACTTTTCAGCGGGGGGACCTTATGGTCTAGGACTTAGTTTAGAGTAAACTTAACAATTATTATTGATTTTGCTGAGTACATCATTGGGGGATCATATACTCATATTTGGCCATGTCACAAGTGTTTTGGTGGTGACATTTGGCCCCAAAAAGAAAAAGAAATCTAAGCAAAATCCAAAGTTATAGATCTTGGTAGAGTTGTATTTCTCATTCTAATATTAGAAGAGGTCAAAAGTTAGACTATTTCAACTCCAAACCTTTTAGTGTTTTTTGGATAAGCACCAAACGAGTGCATCAAATCCCTTGATGTATATGTATAGGTTTGTAGATCGAATTCTTGTGGACAAGCAATAACCGAACTGACTTTGACCGGTCAAGTTGTTGTCACCAGAATGACCGAAATTACTTTGTGTCTCGGTGGTGGCAAACCATATATATGAGGAATAAGGTCATGGGCTAGCCTAATACAGCTCCGTGACCAAAACCAAGGATCCTCATGGCCAACCTTGGGTTTAATGGGTTCAGTAGAATTTGCCTGTGTAATAGTATTTATTGTATAATAGAAGGTTCTCCAAAGCTTAAGTCATATAAAAAATGAGTAAGCAAGTATGATTAGGGTAATCAAATTGTCATTCCCCGTGTAATAGGACAAATACCTTATTTATAGGCAAATGTATGAGATACCTTCGCGTGGTATTTCGATGTGGGGCTCTTGGGCATGGCCTGCGTGGTTGCCACGTATCCTTGGCCACCATCCGCTTTGTAGTGTCTTTCATGGGATGAAGGTACTCCATGGCCGAAGGTGCTTTATGGCCTTATTGGGATTACTATGCTTTATGGGCTTCGTGGTTCGAAGATATGATATAAACATTACTATTAATTTTAGACTTAAATGTCAAAATGGTCCATGTGTTTTACCTCATCGACCAATTTAGTTTGCGTGTTATCAATTTGACCAATTTAGAGCATGTACAATGGACTTCCTAAATCACCTCCTTAGACAAATTTTTGGGAGGAATTGAAAAAATACAACTCCAAGTTCCAACCATGCTACCTATTCACCTCATAAAATATGGAGATCTCTAGGAGATCCTAAATCTGATGAGAGAGAAAGGACTCTTAGTGGCTTCCTATAATTTAATGCTGCTTTGTTTTACGCAAAGTTTAAAATTTTAATTAATGCTAACTATCTTTTTATATTATTTTTTATAGAGATTGACCAATCATATTGAATTAAAAAATAACTATAATATTTATCACTCCCTAAACTAGCAAATATGATTGGAGCTCAAATTTTATAGAGAGCTCCTAAAATAACTTTGATGTGTTTTTTTGCCAAATTTTAACTAAAAAAAATAGGGAGCATGATTGTAGATGATCTTAGTCACTGTGTTTGTATATATTAGCAAATGTGATCCTTTTCGTCAAAATTCTATTAAAATTGAAAATAAAAATAAAAATTAATTGAATAGACCCACAAGGGATCCGTTAAATAAACTTATATGAATTCTCAAGCACTAACCTCTTGCTAAGTTAATATCTAATATGATGATAGCAACTTAATCACAATGTCAACAAGTGATCCAAACCATTCATTTATTTAGCTCATTATTCAAGGAACATTTCGGGAAAGAAAAAAAAAAACATAAGCCAAATTGGAAATCGTTTAAACTTTTAATTATTATTGAGAATATTTTCATTGTTCATAGGAAATCATGTGTCTATCTATTTTTTTGCTGAAAGTTAAATGACTAAATGTTGTCTAATACGAGTGATGTTGGCTAAAAAATCCGATCTCTTGTAAGTCAAACAGCTAAAGAAGACAAATAAAAAAATATTGAGGATCCCAACTGAGCTGAGCTGGGATTGGGAGCCACGTACCGCACACTTCAAACACACACATCCGTACAAAAAACGTGCCAATGACACACGTGTGAAAAGTACCCACTGTTACTTCAGTGTGTGTTTCCCACTTTACTTAGCAGCTAAGGGGTTTAAGCCGGCGGAGAACTTTGGTGGAGTGTCCAGCGGCAGCAGTGATGAGAAGGAGAAAATAGTGGTGGTGGTGGAAGAGAAGAACAAGAAGGGGAAGTGTTTGACATGCCGAGGTTGCTTGGTGACATGGCTGAAGGGCTTCTTCTTTCTCCATTGCAATGCTTATGTGGCTACATGAATAGGGATGACATGGACACGTATGCTGATGTCAAATTGTGGAGTTTCTCCATTTAATCAACGTTTATTTTAGTCGATTCTTAAAATTTAGTGTTTGACTTTTATGTATTTATTTGTATTGAAAAAGACGAGCTTAGCCAGTTGTTTTAGAGCGCTTCCATCATGGTGTCATAGCAAAGGAAAAGGGTAAGGAGAGACAC